CAATGCACATGAATTGTGGGACAAATATAAAGAGTACATGGCGGAAGATATTTTGCGAAGGTAACAGCAGACATACGCGAACATGACATACAATGAACAGATTTATAATGAAGCACTTGGAAAAATTGAAGATAAAGTAATGGCAATGGTAGGCAAAAAATTAATCGACTTTGGAATGATAAGCCCTCAGCGAACAACCGAAAATGAACTAAGTGATGAAATTATACGTGAAACAAACTACGATATACCAGCTTTGCAGCAGCAAGTAGCCGAATTTGTACCCCGCTTGCTTCCCGAACAAAAACGAGATTTTGACAAAGTATTAGGACAAATTGAATCTGGAAATGGTGCACTTTTCTTTTTAGATGTCCCTGGAGGAACTGGGAAGGCATTTTTGTTAAATTTATTATTAGCGCAAGTACGGAAAGATAAAAACATTGCTGTGGCCGTAGCTTCCTCCGGTATAGCCGCCACGCTGCTAAGCGGGGGCCGCACTGCACATTCTGTTTTAAAACTCCCTCTAAATCTAGCCCAGGAAGAATCGCCGATCTGCAAAATTGTTTTTTAGCAAAAATAGTGCACGAGGTACAATGCTACGACAATGAAAACTTTTAGTGTGGGACGAAAGTACAATGTCGCATAAAAAAGCTGCAGAAGCACTAAATCGAACGCTCCAGGATTTGCGCAGCAATACCGATATAATGAGAGGAATGGTGGTTTTACTGGCTGGTGACTTTCGCCAAACTTTACCTGTCATTCAAAAGGGCACACCTGCAGATGAAATTAAAGCATGCCTCAAATCGTCTATTTTATGGAACAAGGTGACAAAATTCAGTTTAACTACGAATATGAGAGTGCATTTGTATAATGATATCAATGCTGGAAACTATTCTGACACACTATTAAAAATTGGCGATGGGCGGTTGGAAACGGATGCTGAGACAAAAATCTCTCGTAAATTTAACGAATTGACGAGAGATTTTTGTAATTTAACACAGAGTCCTTCCGAATTAATTGCGAGCGTTTATTCAGATTTAACGAACAACATGCATGAAGACAAATGGTTATGTAAAAGCGATTCTTGCACCAAAAAATGAGAGCGTTAACAAAATAAATTCAGATATATTAAGCGAACTAGCAGGAGAAATAACAGAGTATTTGTCAGTAGACACAGTTATGGACACAGAACAGAGCACTTCATATCCCGTAGAGTTTCTAAATTTTCTAGAGGTGTGCCCTCACATAAGCTTCAATTAAAATTAGGCGTCCCAGTCATGCTAATGCGAAATTTAGATGCTCCTCGGTTATGTGACGGGACAAGGCTGCGTGTGACACATCTTGGACGGAACATAATCGGTGCGACTATTTTGACAGGCGTAGGAAAAGGTGAAAATGTTATTATGCCACGGATCCCTATAATTCCCACAGATCTTCCTTTTCAATTCAAAAGGTTGCAGTTCCCTATTAAGCTCAGTTTTGCAATGACAAAGAGCCGTGGTAGCTCAGATGGTTAGCGCTCGCTGTAAATTTCACAGTACGCGAGCAAACCGTGTTCGATCCCCGCCGGCACCAATGAAATTGTTAATTGCAATTTTAAGTGCTGATTTATCACCTCAGCAACGAATGGAAGGACAGCTTACTTCATGCACAGCAGGAAGATCCGGACATCAAGCCGATTCTGGAATGGATAAAGGCCAGTGCTCCCAAGCCCAAGTGGAGCGACGTCTCAGCGATGAGTTCGACCACTAAAAGCTATTGGGCCCAGTGGGACAGCTTGCTGCTTCAGGATGGAGTTCTGTGCCGTAAATGGGAAAATGTTCGGGGAGACAGCTATCATTTGCAAATGGTTGTCCCTAAAGGTAAAGTACCGGATGTTCTACAGCTGTACCATAATGATTGTTGTGGAGGCCATCTGGGAGTTAAACGAACTCTACTGAAGATCCGAGAACGATTTTATTGGGTCCACTGTCGAAACGATGTCGAGGACTGGTGTCGCAAATGTACAAGTTGTGCGGCTGTAAAGGGACCTCAGACTCATAGTAGAGGTGCATTGAAGTTGTACAATGTTGGTGCACCATGGGAGAGAATAGCCATTGACGTGGCGGGGCCATTTCCGGAGAGTGAAAGCGGTAACAAGTATTTCATGGTTGTGATCGATTACTTCACTAAGTGGCCAGAAGTCTTTGCCATTCCAAATCAAGAAGCTTCAACAGTTGCAGATAAACTAGTTCATGAAGTCTTCTGTCGTTTTGGAGTGCCTTTAGAGATTCACAGCGATCAAGGAAGGAATTTTGAGTCTCAAATATTCCAGGAAACTTGCCGAGTTATGGGTACTCATAAAACAAGAACGACTTCTTATCACCCGCAATCTGATGGAATGGTAGAACGATTTAATCAGACATTGGAGAGGTACCTAGCAAAAGTTATAGACAATCGGCAACGAGATTGGGACAAGCACATACAACCGTTTTTGTTGTCATATCGAAGTTCTGTTCACGAAAATACAGCAGTGACACCAGCTTTCGCAAACTTTCGACGAGAATTACGGCTGCCTGCAGACCTGATCACCGGGATACCCCCTGATGCCCCACGCAGTATAATCGATTATGCAAATGACTTGCGGAACAAAATGAATGACATTTATGAGCACGTCAGACAATCGGGCCAGCAAATGTCTGAGAAAATGAAAACCCGGTACGACCGCAAAATGAACAATAAAGGGTTCGACGAAGGTTCACTAGTGTGGTTGCACAATCCAGTCCGCAGCAAAGGGAAATCTCCTAAGCTTCAAGCTAAATGGGACGGCCCGTACCGGATTGTAACCAGGATCAACGATGTAACCTACCGGATACAGAAAGGCGCAAGAGGGACTCCTAAGATCGTCCATGTGGATCGCTTGGCGCGTTATTATGGGGCCGATAATGCTCGGGACGAGCATGTCTTAGGAGGGGGCAGTGTTGCGCGAATAAGACGATGGCACTAGCGCCATGTGGTATCGGGCAACAGAGCGAGGAGAGCTTTCCAGAAAATACATGACTAGTCTTTCAACCAACAGCGCCATCTAGTATCGAACAGAAGAATTAAGCTTTCTGGAAGCCGCACACTCGAACTTTCTGCGCTTGGTCGGTTGGCGCGCGTATTTACTTGAATATTCTGGAATATTCTGGATGTATTCGTGGAAGAGCCCTATATAAAGGCGCTGCAATACGCGATCGGGGAAGTATTGAAGTTGGCGAGACAAGCGAAGCTTCGGAGCGGAATAAAGTGAATCAGTGTGATTAATTATTAGTGCTTTTAACTTTAATTGGTGTAAAGAAAACTAAAGTGTTAATTTAGGTAATTCTATCGGCAATTTTTATTGTCACGAACCTCAAGCTCGTAACAGTACTCTTCCCTGCTCAGACATAAAGTATTCCGCAAAATGATTACGAACTGTACTTGCTGGTATATTATGTTGTATTGATTGCGACCTTGGTAAAGCCGATATTTCAGGACCCAGATTGATGATTAATTCTTCAGGCATACCCTCTTCTTTATGTATAAAATTTTGTAGTAAACAACATGTCTTTACGATTTTTACTGCTAAATCAAGTGACACATGTAGAGGACGATGGAGAATTCGCCATTTATTAGCCATAATGCCAAATGCACATTCTACGTATCGCCTTACCCGGGTCAAACGGTAATTAAAGACCGATTTAGTCGCATCCAGCTGTTAACCACTGAATGGGCGAAGTAAGTTTTCGTGCAACGCAAAAGCCTCGTCCCCAACAAAAATGTAGGGTAGATCGACATTTGATCCTTCCAGTTGTGCAGAGGTTGGCAAATTTAACGTCTTGTTCACTAAGCTTTTCCAAAAAGTAGTCTCCTTGAAAACATTTGAATCACACTCTTTACCGTATGCACTTACATCAATGAAAATTTAATTATAATTAGTGTCAACTACCGCCATTAAAACAATTGAAAAGTAATGTTTGTAATTTAAAAACATCGATTCACTTCTGTTGGGTTTTACAACTCTTATGTGCTTGCCATCAACAGCACCTAGGCAATGAGGAAAATTGGCTTTTAAACAGAAGTTGCGAGCAATTTCATACCACTCATTTTCAGTTGGTACTTTCATATATGTTTCTGACAATTCTTCCCAGATACTTTGGCAAACTTCTCTGACAATAGAACTTAAAGTACTTTTTCCGATTCTGAATCCGTATCATAGATCAGCGAAAGTGTGTCCTGTTGCTAAATACCTAAAAAATAAAATAAAATAATTAATAATCAAGCTATACAAGGTGTAAAGCAAAGGGTATAAAGGGTGTAAGGGACATATTATTATTTCCGAAAACTTTCACACCATCATTGCCTGAATACCCCCTGGCATGAATGGCAAGTTAAATAAATAAATTTCACAGACAATAAACACAGCGCCATCTAGCCCATAGTAAGCATACTATAGCAGCTTGTGTTACGGGTCTTGACAACGGATATAAATACAATTATATATACTTTTTTAAAATATATACTTATGATACATACAAACTAACACCCAGGCCGAAAACAAGCACCTACGTTCGTCACATAAATGCTTGTCTTCCGTGGGAATCGAGCCCACGACCTCGAGATTACAAGTCCAACGTGTAAGCCGTTGGACTAAGGAGGTCGTCAGTTGTTATTATAATAAAAAAAAATTTTTTATATTATAAGGGGGCAAACGGTCGCAGCCATTTTCATGACTACCGACGCCCATAGACATCTGTCTGGATGTTATACAGATGCGTTGCCCTCCTTTCCCCACCCCACCCCAAGGGCCAACGGATACTTACACACCGCACGAAACGCGACAGCTCAGCCGCCACTTTACGCCGGTATCGTGTAAGCGAGAGGTACTTCCCCGGTCGTGCCGGCCCAATTCGGCTACATGCATGCATGCAGCGTGGCACTACCTCTTTCAAGATCTGTTTTACTTATTTACAGGAAAACTGGTTCTGAAAAAGTGGAAATCGATGAGAGACGAATGGATGAAATGTCATAGAAAATTAAGCGAGAGCAAGTCGGGATCGGGAGCTAATCCAATAGTTCATAAGTACACGTACTATGACAACATGAAATTTTTGTCAAAAATAGCCCAACATAGGGATACTGAGTCAAATATGCAACCAACCTTTAACACTGAAAGTGACGACAGCCATGATTCACTGATCAGAAAAAGGAAGAAAGAACAAGTTCATAAAGAAAAAGATTTGAGTGCAGTAGATAGAAGAATGATTCAATTTATCGATTCTATGCAAAAAGAAGAAAAGAAAATCGATGACAGCAGAATTATGTCATTTTTCAAGAGTATTGCTCCAACAATAGAAAAGTTCAGTGACGATGAAGTTGTCGAATTTCAATATCAAGTTATTTCAATATTACGGAATTTTAAACAAAGAAATATAAATAGCAACACATGAGAATCTCAAAGTATACAAGAATCCTGCAAGAATCCATCCAACTTCAGCCAACCTATGATACTGAAGCTTATGGATATTCTACTGCACCTGGACCTTCTAACGTGAGAAGCCAATCTAGACTTACTACTTATAGTTCCGAACTAGAATTTGACTCTTACACTCGAGTTGGTTAAAGTCAACCCAGTGTGCAATCCAGTATGAGTGACGACCTCGACTTTGCGACGCTGAATAATTAATTTTATTATTTTTCTACTCCGACATCTACCGCTATGATTCAAGATAATTATAGTATTTGATTAGTGTAATTACTTTACCTTACATTTTCTGAAATTAAAAAAAATGATTAAAACAAAAACATGTTTTATTATATATGGTCAGTCAAAAGAGGTCATGAGTTTGAAATAATTTATTCAAAAAAGGTCATGTGCTTTATTCTATATGTTTGTGCTTGTTTATATAAATTATAAACCTTTTAGAAATACAAAAATATTTCAAACTATACGCTCACGCAAAAATTTTAAGCGAAATCATGACTACTTACCTCAAAGTTTACAACCAGTCTTTCGGCAGAAGAAATACTATCTCGCATAACTGTGTGCTGATACTCCAGTTTAATATTTAAAACAGACAGTAATTTATCAAAAGTCCTTTTAGTCATTCGAAGATAGCCATAAAATTCGTCATCATAATTGCGTAATTCCGCAAAAAGGACATATGAAATTCGCCATGCTTCTCTCTGCGAGTTAATATAGGTTGAGCCCAATATCTTCGTGTAGAATTAATCTTACTGTCTTTTTCTTTCTTCCATTGTTTATACATATAGTATATAATTAGAACTTTGTTTGCCTTAGTCAAATCCATTTTATTTCACAAGTTCTCACGTTGTGACACCTGGAAGCCACTACGTCTACTGAACAAAGTAGTCCAGTCACTAGTAGTTTATGCGTGTGCGGGATGTGCGCGAGGCGTGCGCGTGGCCAGCGCAGGTGTAATGCGGGCACAACGCGTGTGCGGGTCCTGCGCGTGGTCGACGCGTGTCATCTGAACGCGGCCTTATAGATTATTGGCAGGTTATTTTCAAATGCAAGAGATTGAAAGGTACTTCTTTATCAAAATATATAATGATATATCTATTTCTTCATTCAATAGTACAAATATATTTGAGTGTATTAAAAATGAACAAGATATTTGTTAAATTCTTCCAATTTTTTTAAATTACTGTTTCAAACTAAGTGCATTTTTATTAACTAGCTGTTACACGCAGCTTCGCCCGCATGGTCACTGGGAAATGAACTATCCATTGCTATTAGAATTGAAAAAAAATTGAGTTTTATAGAACAATTTCATTGGTGCCGGCGGGGATCGAACACGGTTTGCTCGCGTACTGTGAAATTTACAGCGAGCGCTAACCATCTGAGCTACCACGGCTCTTTGTCATTGCAAAACTGAGCTTAATAGGGAACTGCAACCTTTTGAATTGAAAAGGAAGATCTGTGGGAATTATAGGGATCCGTGGCATAATAACATTTTCACCTTTTCCTACGCCTGTCAAAATAGTCGCACCGATTATGTTCCGTCCAAGATGTGTCACACGCAGCCTTGTCCCGTCACATAACCGAGGAGCATCTAAATTTCGCATTAGCATGACTGGGACGCCTAATTTTAATTGAAGCTTATGTGAGGGCACACCTCTAGAAAATTTAGAAACTCTACGGGATATGAAGTGCTCTGTTCTGTGTCCATAACTGTGTCTACTGACAAATACTCTGTTATTTCTCCTGCTAGTTCGCTTAATATATCTGAATTTATTTTGTTAACGATCTCATATTTTGGTGCAAGAATCGCCCTTTTACATAACCATTTGTCTTCATGCATGTTGTTCGTTAAATCTGAATAAACGCTCGCAATTAATTCGGAAGGACTCTGTGTTAAATTACAAAAATCTCTCGTCAATTCGTTAAATTTACGAGAGATTTTTTGTCTCAGCATCCGTTTCCAACCGCCCATCGCCAATTTTTAATAGTGTGTCAGAATAGTTTCCAGCATTGATATCATTATACAAATGCACTCTCATATTCGTAGTTAAACTGAATTTTGTCACCTTGTTCCATAAAATAGACGATTTGAGGCATGCTTTAATTTCATCTGCAGGTGTGCCCTTTTGAATGACAGGTAAAGTTTGGCGAAAGTCACCAGCCAGTAAAACCACCATTCCTCTCATTATATCGGTATTGCTGCGCAAATCCTGGAGCGTTCGATTTAGTGCTTCTGCAGCTTTTTTTATGCGACATTGTACTTTCGTCCCACACTAAAAGTTTTCATTGTCGTAGCATTGTACCTCGTGCACTATTTTTGCTAAAAAACAATTTTGCAGATCGGCGATTCTTCCTGGGCTAGATTTAGAGGGAGTTTTAAAACAGAATGTGCAGTGCGGCCCCCGCTTAGCAGCGTGGCGGCTATACCGGAGGAAGCTACGGCCACAGCAATGTTTTTATCTTTCCGTACTTGCGCTAATAATAAATTTAACAAAAATGCCTTCCCAGTTCCTCCAGGGACATCTAAAAAGAAAAGTGCACCATTTCCAGATTCAATTTGTCCTAATACTTTGTCAAAATCTCGTTTTTGTTCGGGAAGCAAGCGGGGTACAAATTCGGCTACTTGCTGCTGCAAAGCTGGTATATCGTAGTTTGTTTCACGTATAATTTCATCACTTAGTTCATTTTCGGTTGTTCGCTGAGGGCTTATCATTCCAAAGTCGATTAATTTTTTGCCTACCATTGCCATTACTTTATCTTCAATTTTTCCAAGTGCTTCATTATAAATCTGTTCATTGTATGTCATGTTCGCGTATGTCTGCTGTTACCTTCGCAAAATATCTTCCGCCATGTACTCTTTATATTTGTCCCACAATTCATGTGCATTGGATAGCCCGCAAGATGATATGAGAGTTGCATAAAGATCCCTAATTTTGGCTGGTGACTGGCACTGCACAGCTTCCTCCATGGTTTCATCCCAGTGATTATCGTTTTCTAAAAGATGCAGAGCTTCACATGCTTGTCTATAAGTTGCGCATTCCTGACCGTTGACAGTTTTAAGGTCTTTATATCCTGTAGGACCCCGAACATGGTGCAGCAACAATCGTAAACAGAAACATTCAAAATTAGTTACATGGACGGTATACACACGACCAAGGCCATCTGATGACTTTACACCGAGCCAATTTGCAACAGGCGCGCCTTGAATACGGCGTTTCCACTCCTTCCTAGATGTGTTCCAAGTATAATAGCGGGGGACTTCAGAATATAACAACGTTTTTGCAAAGGGGTCGGTTTGACAAGGTTGAAACAAGGCTGTTAGGGTAGTTTTTGGCGGTGATGCAATTCTTTCTTGGAAATTTCTTTCGGTGAAATATATATACACGCTCTCCATTTTCTAAGTGCACAGCAAGGTGAGTAACTGTTGGGTGCCTTTCGTGTAAAGGGAAGCCAAGGAGACGCCACGCTGCCTCGTTACTGCTGACATAACGCCCTGCTTGAAAGGTCTGTACTTCATCAACGGGATTTGCCTCACCTTCACTCCTGAGAATAAATATTGCTTGGTTGCTTCCTTTATTTATGTACTTACAGATATACTTGATTGCGAGGACAGAGCTACATGCTTCTACATTAATGTGGGCATTAAACATTTTACATAGAATGGGCGAATACGGGACAATCCAGGTGTCAAAGCAAATAACAAACAACCGAAATCGAAAGCAGGTAGTCGAATAAGCTACGAAATAGAAACAATTTAAGCGTATAGGTACCGTATGCACTATAAGTTGACGCGCGGCTCAACAGCGGGAGTTAAGTACATGTCAGGAAACATTTCGTTACCGCATTTTAAAAACCTAGTAACGACATCTAGGGGAATCAATTTATACTATGTATGCGTTAGTTAATAAGAACACTCACAAATATTTTTCTTATAATTTTGCACAATTTTTCTTGTTGTAATACCGATACATCCATAACCACATATAAGAACTGTATTCATTTCCGTTCAATAAATATTACTAAGGCTTATTAATAAAGCTTACTAAGAACTGTTTCTACCACAGTTATATTACTGATCCGTACTTATAATCACGCCTGTAACCCTTGCGGGGTAGGCAGAGCATCAACGGATTACTTAATATCGTCTGCGAGGTTATCGCCTATTCTGTGAATTACGATGCACCAAAACGTTTGAAGAAAATCAGCTGGTGAATTTTATGTTTTTTATCGCTCTCTTCCCGGTCCTGCGTGGAAAAATACAGATCCATACATTTTTTATCTTAATTTTGGTAAAAAGACATAATAATCCAGATATTCTGAACTTCTTAGTTCGTCCGTCTTACCGTCGTCCGTCTTGTAGAATCATGGTGGCGCCATCTAGCTGAATTAAATTTTGCAACATATTCAATTTTCCCACGGGAATGAGATGTTTTCCCACGGGAATGAGATGTATTTCCGCGGAAGTAGACCAGACAGGCATCGCCAATTAGCCCGGTAAGTACAAGTTCCATCAGCCTTTCAAACGTTGCTGGAGCATTGCACAACCCAAACGGCATTACTTTAAATTGCCACAGACCCTTTCCCGCCCTGCGTGGAAAAATTCCCGTCGAGAACGCAGTTTTCTCCTTGTCCTTAGGGTGCGTGCGTCCTTAGGTAGCATGCTAAACCACTTTACTCCTGTAAGCATGTCCCGCGTGTCATCAATTCTTGGCAAGGGATAGCTGTCCTTCTTCGTAACGTCGTTCAGACGGCGGTAGTCAACAAAAAACCGCATGCTGCCATCCTTCTTCTTCACCAGCACCATTGGTGAACACCATGGACTAGAGGAAGGTTCAATAACACCATCCTTCACCATTCCTTCAATCATGGTTTCCACTTCCTTTTCACGTGCTACCGGCAATCTTCTTGGCCGCTGACGGATAGGCAATTCTTCTCCTGTGTTTATTTTGTGTTGAACTAAGCCAG